AACTTGAAAGTCTACCAAGGAAAAGGAAAAAGAAAAACCAAGCTTATCAAGCATGAGTCAATTTAAATAGTCAATAATGCTACTTCTACAGCAAACTTCATAATGCACTCTCCACATGACAAAGGCAACAAGTGGCCCCATCTACCTTCTTCTTATCTGATAAACTAAGCTTTTATCAAAATGCCACTCCAATCAAAGTGCCTTTCCGTTTTTTAAAGGCTTTTTAAGGTTCACTTGGTTTCATATGCACCACTCAGGGGAAAGGACCACCGGCAACTCTACTAAATCTTGTCATATAGCAAAAAAAATCACATATGCTGTGTAACATCTCTGGGAGAAGGTTCAGTAAATAATAAACATAAAGAAGGTGAAAGACAAAGGATCAGTTACGCCTTCATAGTCCATTTGAAATCCCTACATTTCAAACTGCATAAGCTAAACAAGCTTCAGTTACGAAGCAGTCCTCATCTTTCTATATATGTGGATAGGCAGAGAGCTTTAACTCTCCCTCAGTTTTCTTTGTTATACTTTAAAATTTCTTTCAGCAAAACCAAAAAACTGAAAGCAGCACATTGCCCTAATTGGTTACGAGCGGTCGTTAACATTACCACCTTCACTATTAAAACGCTTTCATATTCAACAGCTTCCATCAAAAATCACATATAAGTTCCTAACCAATTTCATGAGATTATCATTTATCCTGGCAATTGTCCTACAATATCTAGCTCAAATGATTGCAGTTATCAGTACATAGAAACACCAGAAAACAGTTAAAGAATAAATATCCCATGAAGGTTTCTGTAACACCAAGAGCTGATATGAGGATATCAAAGAATCTAATTAAAGACACTGGGGAGTTAAATCCCAAAATTCGTCAGTAATCGTCTAGGCAGTCAAGCCTAGGGCAAACACCAAGGCCGACAATGTAGCCATTCTATAGCCTCGATATATAAATTTATCATGAGAACTGAAGGCTACTCAGTTTGATGTGTATTCCTTTTTATCTGCCACAGCATACACATATATACAGTAATATGACTGCATATCACCCAAAAAAGTACATCTACACCTAAAATATTGAGTGGAACCTATTTTCTATTTACATCAAAAAGAGATTGCTAATAGCCACAGATACTGTAATTTGTGATTGACCATGACCGTTCAACACCCTTTTGAAATACAACATCGCCTAAGCCAGCCAACACACTACATACAAAGGTACAAACCCTTATTTCCCAAGCTATATCAATACTGAAACAATAACACCAGGTTCATCAAAAAATAATCGCATGCTCAGCTCACAAACTCAAACTAAGATTTCTCATATTCTTTTTGCATAAGCTAAACAACATTATCAGAGTAATATTAGTACAAAATTCTCAAAGTTTCATATACCTTGCAAATGCTGGCGGATGAAAACAAACAAGAGAAGCAAGGAAAATGGAAGAATCTGCTCAATCCACCTAGCCACTTGCTGTATATCAAATCTTTGGTACGCCGAATCCCTATTATTACTCCCAGCATCATCATCATCCTCAGCACTAACAGTAGGCGCCGTGGACGCGTCCACACCAGAACCCTCCCTCTCCTCAACAGAACCACTCCCCTCTCCCTCCCCACTATCCTCAACCTCAGTTATTCTAATTGAAACCTCCCCAGTACTACTATTACTATCTCCACTAACATTGCTATTAAAATTATCAGCTACAAGAGGCTCCGTTTCAGGGTTATCGGGTCGGACCCGAAGTAGTCCGGAATACTCAAGTAAAGTGGAAACTGGGGATTGGAAGAAGCGCAGTGGACTGAATTGAACTCCAAAAGTGGTCGAATTGGGAGATGTAGGAGAAATATTTGCATTTTCTGAACCATCCAAAGTATCCATCAGAAGAAAATAGGAAAAGTGTTAAACAGAGGTTTTTGTATAAATTGTATTGACCCAAGAATGAAGATTGTGGGTATTTTCTTGGAGATGAAGAATGGGATATTATGTGAATTTTCTGACACACAAGAAATGGTAGTAATAAAAGTCAGATGAGTGAGAAAGCTTAATAGAGTAGTTAATATTATTAAAACTAAAACCGAACAATGAAGAAAATAATACTACTATTGAACTTTAGATAATGACAGCGCAATAAAATATAAAATAGTATCTCGGGAGAGGGGTTTTAGGAAAGTGTAAAGAGGATGGCATTTAAACAATTAACGTGTAACGTAATCTTTCTTTTTGTTTGTTTGAGACAAATGAAGAAATAAAAAGTTTCTTTTTTTGCATTAAGATAAGAGCAAGTGTTTGTTGAATAAGAATTACATAACGGTCCCAATACTCAGACGCGGCGCTGGGTTATACGGTGCTGGTGCACATCTTTCAACTTGCTCTCTACAACCATAACACAAATACGGGTGCATCATTTAAATTTTAAAATTTTAATTTTTAATATTTGTCATATTTTTTACTTATATAATTATATTAAATTTTAGTTAAACTCATAGCTCAAAAGCTGCATTCGCATTTGCCTTCATCAATCCTCCGAAGTCCGTTAGTTTTATTATTATTATTATTATTATTA